GAGTGACCCCCGTAGCAGTCAGGAGACCACACTGCCTAACAAGCAAGGAACTCAGATTCGGCCTGGACAGTGCTCAAGGGGCCCGCGGAGAAGGCGAAGGGCCTCTCCCCGGGTTTGCCGAAGGGCCGGCGATCAAGTGCCCGATTAGAGAGCACGCAAAGGGCTATCTGTAAGTCACATTAAGGACTCCGGTCCGCAGGGGCGTGTCCTCAGATGTCAATCAGAGGGCCTCCAGCACCCACGGAGAACTCTTGGAACACTGATGTCTCTATTTCGTTTCGAGACCACCAACACCAAAAAGTCGGTTCCTTGTTGGTCTGAGGCTTGGGAGCCCATTTCTCAAGCAGCGGCGGGGCCAGGACCTGCAATTTATTTTGGTTGGGAGTCCCGACCAGGGGTCCCGATTCGCAACCCCTGGTACAATCAGGGTCAATGTGCTGGTCAAGGGTCTACAGTGCTTAACTGGGGGTTCTGTGTCGGCAAGGAGCCCCGAGTCCCACCAGGGGAGCATTCGCTGAATAGGGACTTAGGCGGGAGTTGGATAGGGCGGGAGTTGGAATGCCTGAGAGCCTCTGGCGTTGGTCGGCGCCCTATGGCAACGAAAGGAGAAATGATAACTTATTATGAGAGCCCCCGCTGAAAATGAAAAGGCCCTATGCCAGTCCGGGTCCCCATTACGGAACGGGGGGTCCTCCAACTCAGTTCAGACCAAAGACCCGAACGGTGGAAAACAACTTTAATGGATGGCTTGAATCTTGCAAGAGCTCTTTCTCCAACACTGGTAGTGTACCAGTACGTCGTGAAGTAGTGCATGGGGTTTGTTACGAACCATTCATGGCTTGACACCGCTGACCAAACGTGCTCTCGCTTTTCTCCGTGGGTGCGACGCGTTAGGTTACAGCCGAAGCGACGTGCTTAAGCTCACTGTACCGGCCATCTTGCGCTGTGTCGGCCATCTTGCGCTGTGCCGGTCATCTTGCACCTGATTTTTTACATGACCAGCAAGTGATACTTAGTGCAAATGAGGATTCTGAAGCGAAAATATGCATGATATTAATGAGGCATTGAACTTGCTCATTTTCGTCTTTTGTGGTTTACCGCTTTTAGAGTTGCATTGCAACAGTTTATGATAGATTTGGGTTCAGGTGACAATGTAGGCTGTTCCACATTTTTTCGATGACAGAAAAGACACTTTTCCCAACCCCGGCTAAATTCCCCGCGGCGCCAGCGTTTCTGCCGCGGTGAGAGGTAGGCGACGCCATATAGCCTCAGCAGGTGTGTCGTAAGGCCTCAGTAGCAGTGACCATCGCTATCTTTCGTCGCGCATGGCCTCGGTCACCCAAGGTTCGACACGTCTCCTCTCGGAGTGTCGGAGCCGTCCCGCGGACCGTAATGCCGTGCCTCGGACTGCGGAGAGGCACATGACGCCACTGAGGTGTCACATGGTTCAACAACAATTCAGAAGGACAAGCAGCCGGTGTCTTGTCAGAAAATTTTATAGCGGGGGTAATTTGAGCATGGCATGGACTGTTGTAGGTTGCGTGCTATCGTAAGTTTCTGGTTTCTTTGAAGTTGGACGTCTAGTGACGAGGTATGCTTTAGACCGCATCAACTATATTGCTCCCGCAAATGATTCGCGTGCGGCAATTTCATTGGAGCATACCTGACAATTAAATGCCAGCACAGTAGTAATACCCACGCCGCATGTGAGATTGTGAAATCAGTACTTATCATAAATCCAGCTACAGTTATCTCAAATCGTTTCTTTGCAGCATACCTTTCTTAACTAACCGGGCATCATCGGACACCTCAAACAATCAGTCAAAATCCCTGTGTTTTAACGGTGATATTTTATTACTCCGCAGCCTGCATCCCCGTGAATCCTTACTACTAGTTGAGTTAAGCTCTGCCGCAACAATCACTTGTGGAAGTCTGGTACTTTTTATTGGTTTCTTATAAACGCATTTGGTGTGGCTTCTTATAAACGCATTTTTGTTATGTACGCATAAGCTGAAGAGCTACAGTGGCCCCTTTCCCTAGCTAACTGAAAAGTGATATCTGCGCATAATTTACCGTTATGTGCTCAGGTAGTTTGTGATGCATTTTTTAGTGCATTCACAAGAATAGAACGGCCTCATCACATGTGGCTGCCACATTACGTTTATACGCAGGTTCTCGGCACACTTAGACACACACGACACACACATATGCATTTCAGTCAAAGGGAATGTACCCCCGTTTTTACGAGCCTGTCGGACTTCTGGGAACGCTGTTCCAAAGTGTTGTGCCTCTGGAAGGAAGGCGACCCTCACCCGCTTCAGTTCGAACGTGTGGCAAACGAAACGCCCGTCACGTCAATGTCATGCGCAATGCACCTTGCAACAGCGTTACCAGTCGAGCTGGCTCTTCCGTGGCCACGTGAGTATGCTTATGTACGCATACCCAAAGCTCAGTGAGCACACCCACGCA